GTCGGAGAAGGCGGCGGTCCAACATATGCGAAAGAAAAACCTGGAGTTTCGAAAAAATGGCTCTCGAGTTCGTAAGGGGTATTTAAAAGGACAGGCATCCTCGACCCTGACCGTCAGATGAAAATCTTAAAAATCCGATGGCTAGGGAAACCTGCCCAGATCTGACGGTGATGAGGTAGGGCGGGAAGCAGAGAGGTCGCGATCCAAAGGCCCATATTCGTTCTTTTGAAATAAAGACCGTACGTTATCATAAGAAATCAATCAACGCGACGGTTGCGTTCCCCGAAGGATATCCGAAGGTCCCAGGCCATCATTGCAAATGGAGGCTCGGGACCGATTTCCCACACCCAAAGCACGGAAGGGCAACCGAACCTAAGTTTGAGGCCACCCAAAAGGCGCCCTCGACCTGGGGGGTAGTTGTTGTGTGGGAAAATGTGGCGGACGCGTGGACAAAGTATACAGTGACACGTGGCCTTGATTAATCCCCACCAAGCAAGGAACCCTCGACGCTTGCAGACTCCTCATATTCCGCTGCGAAGGTCCAAGGACTAAGTCCAAGTTAGGGCGACGATCCTTTGTGGCGTCGACCGATTGCGTCATCGACGCTAAGGGATGAAGATCTCTCGACCACAGAAAGGGCCATCGAAGAAGGCGGTTGGGCTAAGAAGTGCTGACGACGAGGGGAACGACCTTTAGAGGACATGACGGGTTACATGCAAAAGTGGAGGTGGTCTGCAAGCATTAATTGCGAGCTGTCAGACCGCTCCCACAGGGGACAAGAAAGTATTACGGAGAAGCACAGAGCCGTAATATAAGACTAATTAGCTGAGTGAACTGTGTTAATTAGTGGGCTACGTCTGGGCCTACCAAAGGAGAGCACAGGGGACAAGAAAGTATTAGCTGAGTGTATTACTATTATTACTATTACTATTTTTTATTTCTTTTGCGTGATCCTTTATCATTAGTAATTCCGTGTTTTTAGACAGTTAATTCAATTTCACGTCAAAAAGACTAGTCATATTTATTTTTAAAATTTGTTTAGATTAATATATTATTAACGCCGCACAAATTATTACCATATTTAAATAAAAAAGAACATAGTTATACCCAATTTTAGTTTCTGTTTTGCTTGAATATGATGTTGGAAAACACTTCTAAACTTTCAACAACAACGAAAACTTCTAATTGTTGGCCATGATTGCAGTTACTATTTCCTAAGGCTGTTATCAATTTGAAAAACACTATTTATAAATCATCTATAAGGACCACACCACCAAACTCATCTTTAGCGCGCCAAAAAAAAAAAAAAAAAAAAAAAAACCACTTAAACATGGCCCATATGATTCAACCTATTGGACCGCTTTCAAGTAGTCCCATCCCATCCTATCCTTTTGCTTTGCGGCTTGGCACATGACAAAAACGACAAATTTGGTGACGTAGAGAAATGTAATGAAATTGGTTAACACAAAACTAAACCGCTCATTAATTTAGGCATTGGGATCTAGTTTCAAGCCACGAGTTCCAAACCTACATATTTGCTGTGAAATAGTTCCCAGGAGTCACGACTCACGACCACAAAAACCTAGAACAAGTTGGAAAGAAGAATAAACTTGTCTCAGGTTGGCACGAATAATAATAAGACCTTATTTGAAACGTTAATATATCAGTATGTTAATTTTTATATCCGTTAAATTTATATAAAATCACGTAAAAATTAAAAAATATATAAATTTAACAGTTAAAAAAATCTAACTTATCAATATATCATATATACTAAAAAAGCTCTCTAATAATAATAATAATAATAATAATAATAATGTAACAATAATAATATTAATAGATACTCTAACATTCTGGTACATGAACATCTTCGGTACATTAATATATCAGTACGTCAACATTTTCGATACACCAACATATTAGTAAGTCAAGTTTTTTATCCATTCAATTTATATAAAATCACATAAAAATTAAAAAATACGCGGATCTAACAGTTAAAAAAACTTGACAAAACGTGTCAAATAATAATTGTGTTGGATATGGATGGCCAATTTAATCATATTATCATGAGTTGGTAGGCCACACAATTTTACATTCCTCTTGTGGTTGTGGGATCAAAATAAGACATTTGCTAACTTACTATAGTTTTAACACCATCTAATTTCTAATTCTTGTGGGACTCATATTTTCCCACTCGTATCATATATCCTCCACCCTTGATGAACCACATTAAAAAATTTGAGGTAAACAGATAAGGACGATGTCCAGTAGATCGTTCTATTGGTAAAATTATTTTTTTAATTATTAAATTTTGTCAAAATTAAACAAAATTAAAAAAGTATACAGACAAATAATTTCTAATATAAATTCAATAACTAAAAACGATTGAAAAAAATAAAATTACTATAGTTTTATTTTTCTAATTTTACAGAAAAAACTCCTAAAAAGATAATAATGTTTTTCTTAACTTATTTACCAATCAAGAAAATCCAAAAGGTTGTCAATGTGCTCTATGATTCGATAAAATAGAGATCTTGATATGATTTATCGGTACACTTGACGCGTACTAAAAGATCTCTCGGTAAACTATTCTTTAAAAAAAATTTCAACGAGGCAATAGATTGTGTTAATAATGTCAAATGACTTGGGTACAAAATTACATGATTTGTTGTACGACTGTACTCTCTGATGTAACGGAAGTGAATGATATTGTATCTGATAGTGACACGACGTAGAAACAGTGCAAAAAAATTTCTGTAAAAGGGCATTTTCGTCTTAAAAATTTATTTATCACACACAAATCATCATCTTCAGTTAATCATGAACAAAAAGTCGGAAACCAAAAAAAAAAAAAAAAAAAAAAAAGCAAAAGCAAACCGTTTTCTTTCCTTTTTTT